GCGATACATAATGCCAACAATAAAAGGGGCAAAAAAATAGTTGGGGGTGAAGCTACCGTGCCTCGTCCTCTTTGCTCGTCTGCGCTCTCTCACGAATAGGAGAGTTCGTTCTACGACCTTGAATAAGCATGGCAAGACAAGACAGGCAAGACAGGCATAGCAGCCTTACCTTGTGGCACCCTACAACTGTCTTTGCCCCAATAAAAATCTATTAATACAATCTTCATATTCTTTCTATATTAAATATGTAGAATAGAATCATACCGTGACTAGATGACCGGAAAGTCTCTCGTTAACAGAGCATTTTTCAATGAAATGAGAGAATATTAGAGGAATTATACAGGTTTCTTAAGCAATCGTGGACTAGTGACCGCCAGTTTTTGTGATTTCCTTAGCGACTTTCGCCCCAAAGATCTGAAATCCAATGGCGAGTTTGGCACGCTGCCAAACCCCGACGAATCAGCTGAGCCACTTGCTGACTGAAAAAGGATTATTAGAAAGGTACTCGTACACGGTTTCATAGTCAGGGGTCTGTATAGCTTACCAAGTTGGGATAGTTACTGTGTAAAACTGGGCCCATCCGTTTTCTTGCATCTGTGTCCTCTTAGAGAGATAGCGCTCGTCAGACCGATGCCACTAAGGCTGTGGTCGAGAAAAAAGGAGCTCCCTCATGATTTTACTGAGCTCGCGATTCTCTTGACTGATGCCAAGCAGAAACTCGGCCTTAGAAAATGCCGTGCAATTTGATCGGGTCAGATTGCGTGTGGCGAACGGCAGCTCCATTGTCACTCCTGTTTCGCAGCCAGTTTGAAGGCAACGGGCGCGATGGCTGGGAGCTGGTTATTGCTGCCAAGTCAATTGGTAGAAGTTTCGCGGGAGGGTGTTTGCCCATATCACACTCCGCCCTTCCACCAATTACGTTGGCAGCAACCGCCCGCCCTCAGCCATCATGCCCACTGCCTTTTAAGACATCGTACGGGATTGCCGAGTAGGCGGAGCCGGAGAATGACGTCGATGGTGTGGGTCTCCCTTCCCGAAGGCGAGAAGAACAAGAGTCCTCGATGATGTCGTTCTTTGGCTCCACCTACCGAGCAGCTCTGGGTGGTGCCTTTGACGGTCAATCATTTCCAGCAGAAAACAGTGCGCAGTTTTATAGGAAGAGAAGCAGTTCTCGCGAGACAGGCATAAGAGGACAAACCTGAAGTACAGCTCTGATAGTATCGTGCCCGTACATAGTAGCCACGTCCAAAGCTGTTCGACCTGCGAGATCTTTCAACGACGGTTCAGCACCCATTCGTAGTAGCAGCACTACCAGTTCGCGATTTCCTTGCTGTGCAGCTACAGATAAAGCGGAAGCTCCCTGAAATCGGCACAGCGAACTTTTTGGTCTTCTGTAAAGGGTGGTCCTGCCGTTGAAGGGGGCGGGGAAGGGAAAGGGAAATTCTTGCATAATGCAACACCTGTGAGAAGTTTGTATTTTGACACGATTCCCTCCATCCTTACATTAATATTGCTTCCCCAACTTCCTAGCAATTTTATTCTTGCAAAAAACTATTTCTGTTTATGACAGTAAGGGAGCACCTGTTCATCAACGGCGTTCGGATTGACGCCGACAGTTTCGAGCAGGTAGGCGGCCATTTCCAGATGACAATTCCAGACGGCCGTCAGAAGCGGTGTTCGACCACCAGAATCCACTGCTTCGAACGATGCCGCGAGACGTCGAAGCATCCGAGCCACCACACATATCATTAATGGCGCACACCTAGAAAAGGCATGGTGAAGACTGCTCGTTTAATATTCCAGGCATTTTATACGCCCGGACAGCCCCGTCCATCAGCTATTTGCAAGTTCAACACTGTAAGTACTTATAATGGCTTGATTAGATATTATCAAGCAATAGATCTCAAGGAAGATCCTTTCATATTCTATAAACCACTAACTCTGTGTGTCGGTTTGTCGGTATGTATGTATGTATGTATGTATGTATGTCCGTCCGCAAAATGCTTCATGGGTTCGAATTGGTTGAAGGAAGAACGACCGCTAAGCAAACCGAAAATAGTTAGGTGCAGATGTATCAACCCAATGTATTGATTATGATAAGACCCTCCTCTATATAAGACAACCACTCGGTACACTCCGAGCTATTGCACGAGCTGCTGCCGTGGCAGCTTGACGTGTGCTCGTGCGGGGGCAGGGTGGGGTGGAGTCGAGGGGCGGGCACCGAGTGACCCCTCCCATCTGCTTCCCTCCCCTGCACGTGCTCAGCCAGACCTGAGCATGTGCAAGGGAAGGAAGCAGAGGGGAGGGTGTACGGGTTCGGGTGATGGCGCGCGTAGTGGCACGCTCGCAGCGGTTAGCATTGACAAGCAATCAACACAGATAATGAAAACAACCGGCTAGAACAAAGCAGGAATTACATGCACATGATCATGAAACGCCCTAGGATGTTGTTTCGATTGCGTATACCCTCATGGCATATAAGACAGCCATTTAGTACACTTCGAGCCATTGCACAAGTTGTTCGCGTGCTAGCTGGACGTAGGCCGTGCGAGGGCAGGATGGGAGCGGGGACTGGATACCCCCCTGCTTCCCTCCACCAGACGTGCTCAGCCGGGCCTGGGAACATGCACGTGAAGGCGCTTGAGGGAAGCGAGTGAACGGGTACGGTGAGAAGGTGCGTAGCGCACGCTTGAATAGCAGCGCTCAAAGAGGAGGAAAGAACCGCTGACTAAGCTGCGAACTAAATCACATTACTGTAACAAGCGAAAATGTTCTTTTAGTTGTGATAATACTTTCAACTATACAACACAACTATTTAGTACACCCGAGCACAAGCTCACAAGCTGCTTGCGTGACGGCTTGACGTGAAGTCGTGCGGGGAATAGTTTGGGGAGAGGGGGGTGGAGAAGAGAGGTGGGAGGAGAACAGGGGCACTCCACTGAGTCCTTACACTGCTTCACCGGAACTGGAGAAATATGTAGTTTGAGTGAGCGGACGCGTAGCGCACGCTTGAACAGGAGCATGCAACCGGAGTGTAGGAAGCAACTGCTAGCAACTGCAAGCTAATTCATATTAGCAAACTAAAATGTTGTTTTGATTGTGATAATTCCACCAACTATACAACATAACCTTTTGTACACTGCAAGCCACTTCACAATCTTCTCGCGCGGCAACTGGACGAAGCCCATGGAGGCTGGCGGGGCGAACCAGTGGGAGGGTAGCGTATGGTATACCAGAATCACCGCCGCTCCCCTTTGAGCAGGCGCACGCAGCGACTGTGGAGCGTCTAGGAGTGTGATAGGGACGAACCAGAAGAGGATCGACCGCTATGCAAAACTGGTGCGAACCATACATGTTGCCGGGTATCAACATAGATGGCCAGTGATTGAACGCGATAAAACAAAATAACCTCACCACCATTCCATACACCGTACTAGCGTTGAAAATGCAGGTATGATGCTATTGTTCAGAGAAGTTGAACATCTGCTCACATAAAAGAAAAGCCGGATACTAGCTGGGTATTGAAATATGTGGAAAAAGGCAAGCGCGGCGGTTCTGAACCGCCGGCAGCCGACTTATATACTCGGAACGGACCGCGACGGCATTCAGCCGGCCAAAGCCGGCTGGTATTACAATAAGCTAATGGTCATTGTCAGCATGACCATGAGAGGAAACGGTAGGACTCATAAATCCGTGTGCCTTACTTCACTGGGTTGACCCCTTCTACCTGATACGACAACGAGGAGCCGGGCACGTAATGAAATATCTGATCCGCGATTGTAACTCTCTCCATGCCGACTGGGTGCGGAATGTTGCAGTGAATGGAATCACACTAATGGAGAACAACATAAGTGGGTGAAAAACTGAGAGTCCAACTGAACTATATACCTATAAATAAAATGCTGGAATAAACGGGCAAATACAATCTCCCGTTATGGGCAGGTCAGCTGATTTTCACTTATTTTTCCATAATACAACCTCTCAGGAAAATTGTTCACCCAAAACTTACCACATGAGCACAGGTCCGTCCATGGGCGTCTCGAGCCGAGATAAATGCCCCAAGCGTCAGCAGCAATTCAGCCATTGCCGTCTTGAAAGCAGTTTTCTTGTCTGCCGTTGTCACTCTTGTTTCACAGTCAACTCAAAGACATCACAAGGGACAACCGAGGGGGCGGAGCCAGGGAACGACGTCGTTGGCGTGGCCTCCCGTTCCCGTTGGCGAGAAGAGAGCGGAGTTGCCAATGACGTCGTTTCCTGGCTCCGCCCACCCTTCAACGCTAAGCGAGGGCACGCCACTCCCCCTGTATGTAGCGGCAACGGCTATATTTTGTCAAAATATAGCCGTTGCCGCTATATTTTGGACAAAATTTTGAGCCTCCTAATCAAGCTTCAAGAAATGTACCTGTTTATTGATAAGCAATGTATGTACAAGTGGAGTGCCATCCATGTCCTGCTGTTCCCAGTCAGTAATATGTTCGGCCAGCAGCTGAATGGAAGTGAGTCATAAAAATTACGTCTAGCCCA